CAAAAAAAAAAAAAACCCTATTCTGCCTTGCCGTCGTCGCTTGCGCGTGCGGCGCTGCCGCTGCGACGCTCCATGCGGTGCTGCGTGCAGTGCTGAAGGGTTGGCCGTGGCTGTTGCCAGCGCGTGTCCGCTACAGTAGCACCTGCACGCGCGTTGCCGCTACCGCCGCGGGGGCTGCCTCTGCCCACACGTGGCTGCTACCAACGAGCGACCGTCGTCGGTGCGCGGTTGCCACGTCGCGGCGCTGCTTGTACCGCCCATGCCCATGTGCGACCGCTGCCACTACCTGCGCCCGGTTGCCGTGGTTCCCGCCCGTGCTTGGACGCCGCCTTGGTGCAGTCGCTACCGCTACCCTTTGTCCACGGGGGCAGCGGCTACCGCCATTTGCAGCCACCGCCCTTCCCCAAGCACCTTCTGCGGACGCCACCATTACGCTTGAGGGCGGCCGCCGCCTTGACACGAGATGCAATCGCCGCTTTCTGCGGGCATCGCATTCACAGGCGGTGCAGGATGACCGTGGTGCCGCCACCGCTCGCAAGCGAACCTCTACCCGCGCACAACCGTGATGCACGGCTGCGGGGTGGTACACGACCCTTCGTCGACAACAGAGATGATTGTCTCAATAACATCGATGATAGTAAATAGTAAATTTATAGGCGAGAGCAGAGGATATAGGATAAGTTATTAGGAGAGTTCCTCTCATCAAGGTTATCTCCTAAGGAATCCTACTTTACATGAACTTCTTTTATCAAATATCATAATCAGAATCCAATAATATCTATAATATATCTTATTTAATTAAATAGGATCATTGTTATGATAACAACTACTCTTTTACCGGGGAAATCTACTTAGAGGAGGACCGTACGTGACAAACTCACCCTTTAGCGTGCGGGGGATCAACATGTTGCAGATTGACGTGAACGCCGAGCAAGGTGGATTGACCAGAAATCCAAACTTCTTCGTTGACTTTGAGACAGAGGTTAATGTACTATGTGATTTCTCTACTTTGATGTTCAGGCAGGCGATTATGAGAAAAGGATTGTTCACTATTAGCTTCTCGGTGCTGGAAACTCTTTTCTTGGCTGTTGCTGATCTTTTGAATGAGTAGTTTGATGTGTGTACTGTCAGTTTGCTGGTTTATGTGCATTCCAGAATGGATCATATTTTTTACGGTCCCTAAAGTCTGGATCATAGGAAATGTGAGATGCATTTTTTGGTCTTTGTGATGTCTGCCTGACTTAATATGTTACTTATACTGTTGGCGAGGGAGAGAAAAATATAGAGATAAGCAAATAAATAATACACTAAAAAGAGAGAGAAGAAATCCAAATCAAAAGAGAAATTAAAAAAAAAATAAAAATAAATAAATAATATGCCAGAGATAAATAAATAAATAATACATCAAAAAGGGAGAAGAGAAATTCAAAGATAAACAAATTAATTTTTCACTATATGAGAAAAGTAAATACACGAAATAATTAAATTCAAACTCGAGTATTTATTTATAGAAACAAATTTTAATTCATCGATGACTAATCTTTTAAGAGTTCCCTTTGAACGTAATTTGAAGCGCACTTATTTCAGTTTTTTCATATAAAAAATAACAGAAAAAATGTTTTAAAGAATCTTCACAATGTCAAAATTTTTTTTTCAGAGTAGTGCATTTCCAAAGCCAAATGTTCAGTCAAACTATATGATCGTGTTAATTTCAATCCTATTTTATGGGAACTAATATCCAATTGTATCACTTTCCAATGCCAATTCGGCATATAAACTGATGACCAATCATCGTACACGTCAATTATGGGGTTAAGAGGAACATTGTTTTGGTTCATGTCAAGCTGCCGCATGTGCGCACGCACGTGAGACGTTACCATGTATAGGAAAGGTATGGAGGCCGCTCTCACATATTTTCGTGCTGACGTGGACGCAGGGATTAAACCCTAGCCAACACCCACCCCCTTGTTCCACTTAAACCCGCTCCCCTCCTGCTGCCGTCGTCCCGTCTCCGCCGGCCTTCCGTGCCGATCTCTTGGCTATTTCTCGAGGTATGGTTTCTCTTTTTTTTGCTTCGCTTTTGATCTATTTGCTATCTGTCGAGGCATTTACCTTCGTCCGATGTCGTCCGTGTGTTGGGATCCCCGTTGACGATGTGCGAGTGGAGCTCTTATGGCCTCGTCGATCGTATTGTTGTTTCATCGTTTCAGCTACGCCTCGGTGCTGAGCTCGTCGACTTCATAAGATGTTTATTCTCGCTGGTTCTTCTTGACATTGTTATTTTTTCTTCTTATGAGATTTTTTGGGTGTGGCAGCTGGCAAAGATAGTACCTTTTGCTTGATTCTATTAAGTATCGTTCTAGCATCTCTGTTTTTACCCCCTTTTGGTATCGTCTCTGATGCGTAGCTCATTGGTAGAAAGACAGGATCTTGATGCGATCTCACTGTTCTTTTTAGATTGTGGAGAGCAATTATTGCTGTGACTCATGTTGGGGCATGGCGTTGTGGGTTTGGAATAATAGATGAAGAGTAAAGGTGTTGTACAACTTTATACCGTGGCTAGGGGGTCGGTACGGCTTGGTCCGGTCCGAATGTGCAAGGTCACCCACGTTGGAAGCAAAGGGATCAGTGAGGTCGCTTGGGTGCCGGGTCGTGGCCGACTTGGTCCATGACTCGGGCGATTGCCTTTGACGCGTACTTGCACCACTGGTCGGTGTTGGTTGGGAGATTCTCGACTCGACCCCTTCGATACTTAAGCTAGCAAGTGTGTAGTGTTAATGTCTTATGTTTTCGATCCCCCTTTCTTGGGCTAGGGGGCAGATATTTATACCTGCGGAAGCGTATCGATCGTATGTGGATCGTTAATGGCTATTGATACTAGCATTCGGCGCGACCATGTGGCGTCGACTCATATGGCTCTGGGGGCTCGAGGCGGCTTGTATGGTCACCTGGCAATCGTGCCAACCCGTATGGTTTCGAGCTGTTCGGGGTGGTGCGTATCGCCACCTGGCGGGCAGCACCGATCTACACAGTCTCGGGCAGCCCGAGGATCGGTCATGCGCCCTTTGTTGACGTGCGTCGAGCTGCTCTCCATTGGCTCCATGCATGTTAGTTCCACATCGGTTCTACGGTGTGCTGTCACAAATGATCGTCGCGCACCTGCATAATATTGGGGAGTCCCGTACAATATCATCAGTGATCAAGACGTTCGGTTCCTAGGACGGTTCTGGACCGAGCTATTCAAATTGTTAGGGTCTAAGTTATACTTCTCCATAAGCCTCCACCCCTAGACAGATGGTCAAACCGAAAGGATAAACTCGTTCCTTGAGCAATATCTTCGGCACTACGTGAGTACCAACCAACGAGATTGGGTGAAGCTATTGGACATAGCATAATTCTCCTACAACTTGCAGCGGAGCTCTGCGTCCAACAAGAGCCCCTTCGAGATTATTACAGGACAACAACCGTCGACTCCTCACATCTTGACTATCGGGTATACTGGGAGTAGTTCGTCAGCATATCACTTTGCAAAAGAATGACACCGAAATGCAAATATTACGCGGGCTTACTTGGAGAAGGCGGCCAAAAGGATGAAGTAAGCAGACTTGGGAAGACGATTGCAAGAGTTCAAAATCGACGATTTGATGTTGGTGAAGCTTCAACCAACATCACTCCAATTCTTTAGGCACAAAGTACACAGGATTGGTGCGCAAGTATGAAGGGTCTGTCTCAATTATCAGTAGGGTGGGCAACGTCTCCTATAAGTTGCACCTGTCGGTGTTGCTCAAAATTCACAATGTTTTTCACGCCAGTAACTTGAAAGCCTACCACTCAGACTCGCGAGCCGGTTTGAACCATGTGTTTAGGGTAGGGAATCGATTGAGATCACGCTTAAAGCTAAAACACTTGTTTTGATAAAAGAACAAGGTTTCACGAGAAGTTGCTTCGCATTGCAAAACTCACTTTTCATTACAAGTAAAGCTGTTATATGTTTGTCGGGCTGGGTCCTTATAATCGAGGTCGAGACCCAACCCACTACAAAAAGCAAACGGAAAAAGACACTGGACAAAAAGCCCGAGGCCTCACTCGGTCGCGGGAGGAGGGACGCTATCGTCAAACGGGATGATGGGGTTCATGGGCAAAATCGAGAATGAATCCTGGTCGACCTCAAGGTCGGGATATCTTACCTGAAATCGGGTTAGGGCAAGTAGGTACCCATACTTATATGACATGCGTCCCGATTGCTGTAGCCCTGGCTTGAAGCCGGTGGACTCCTTGTATTGCTCCACTGCAGCCGACCATTGCCGTCTCCCAACCTGGCACTAAGTCCTCCACCTCTCGGATCTTAGGTCGGGTCGCCTAGAGGGCGCCTTTAGCTTCCCAGGCTTTAACCTTGGCAGCCTCAAGATCCTGGGACAATCCTAGCAGCTGGTCCTTTAGGTTCCAGTTCAGCCCCCGAGTGTCTTTCAGTTGCCGACGAGATTCGTTGAGTTCAACGTTTAGCTGATCCAGCTACCCAAACAGCTCGGCAGCTCGCACCTTGGCTGCAACAACGGCTTCGGGCCCCGACCCGGCCTTTAGTTCTCGAACCTCGCTATGGAGGCTGTCAATGATGATTGACATACTGTCACGGACTTAGCTGGTTTTGCCTAAGTCGTGCGGCACCCTGCGTGTCCGTCCGCAAAGGTCAGCCTCCCATGGTCCCTTAGGACCCACAAAAGAGAAAACGGGTTAGAGAAAATGCCTCACTTGGGATCCATAAGCAAACATTCCAGGAAACACTTCATAGACAATGCAAATTACAAACAAACTTTACGCTCTGAATAGTTGCATAACAAAGGGTCAAAATGGTCCATTATAGACCAATAATCTCTCACAAGTGTCCACATGACACAACCTTTATTTACAAGCCTAAAGCGGCCACCAAATCCAACTAAAATGGGACTATTAAGCCTTCGGCCGTCCCTCTACATGCTGTGCAAAGCATGAACATACCAAAAGACACAGACATACATAAGCATTACATCAAACATACTGTTTAGAAGTTTGTCCGTGACAATACGGTCAATGACCCGACTGGCGGCTCGAACCTGGTCCACCAAGCTCGTCACGTGGTGGAAGTGCTGCACAAGAAACATGACCCTCAGAAACCGTGGAAGAACTCTGAAGAAAGAAGAACGTTTGACACTCACCAGCGCAAGGTTCTTAGCCGAGGCGTTGACCATAACCTCAGAGGGCACTCTATAAATTTCCTTCGCCAGGGGTGGGCAGAGGGCCCCTCGGCAATACTCTAGGGCACTGGGCTCGTCGTCCTAAACCCGACTCTCCGCAGTGAGAGAGACCCAGTGGGGTTCCATAGGGGTGATGCCTGTAGCTTTGGGCAGATCAGCCATCTCGATGGTTGAGAATTGTTCATCCTTTGCATGGTCCTTAGTGCGCACATGTTCCACATGGACTTGGGACGTGTTGGCTCCTTGCCACGCTGCTGACCTCGCTGAGCGGGGGAAACCCTCCAAGGAGCCTCACCTTCAGCCCGAGGCGCTCTTGAAGACCCCTCGCCAGCCCTAGTCTCTTGAGGAGCCTCGCCCTTCGACGATCGACGCGCCATCATTTTTTCCATTTTATAGGGTCGGTCTGACCCACTAGGCCTTGCCCAAGGGGCTTCCGGCGCAGCAGTAAGGGCCCCAAAAGCGGGGGAAGGGTGAGGTCGAGACGAAGCCACGCCCGAAGCATTGCCCATCTCCCTCAGAGCCCTGAGATCCATCCTTGTAGAAGACATAATCAAACAAGGTTAGAGCAAAAAAAAAACAAAAAACAAAAAACGCAGAAGGCATGGGTCGCACCCCGAGGGGTCGAGCTAAGGCCTGCTTCGACCAGTCAGTCTTCCTTCATCCTCCTTATTGCCTGGAAAAATGAGAGGATGTCCTTCAACTGCCCGACCCGCTCGGACTCTTTGTCGGACAGGAAGGGCGGGTTATTGTTGACGGCTTGAGCCGATCACACGAGGCTGAACTCCCAGCCCCAACTAAAACTCACAAAGAAGTAATGGGGTTTCCACCCCTTGTTATTCGTACGGGCGCCACTCACCTTAAAGCCGCCTCGGGCGGCCAGGTAATAACCCCTCTGACCCTTGCAAAGCTTGAAACAAGCAAGGAACAGGGTTCGGGTCAAGACGATCTCGGTCGCTCGACTCTCGCCGATGAACGCCACCAGGTAGCGCCACGAGTTCGACACCATCTGGGATGGCGAGATCCTCCACCACTAGAGGTAGGACTCGATGATCGAGTGCAACGACAGCCTGAGTCTTGCCTCCAAAGCATCACAGGATAGTGCAAACTTGTCACCGAGGGTGTCATATGGGTGCTGCCCTGGTCGAGGAGCGTGAAGCTCGAACTCAGGTGGGATGCAATACTTGGCCCAGAGTCGATTGAGTTGTAGTTGTGGACCTCCAAGGCTTGGATGGCCTTTATGTCCACCGAGGACATGCCTCCTGAGGACGAGCTCACATTCTCAACCTTGGGACTACCAAAAGATGACCCTACAACCTCAAGGGAAACCTGACCTGAAGAACTAAAGAACGAGGTGGAAGACATCCCGACTTGGAATAAGACGCTCAGAGGTCCCAAAAACATTATCGATCGAGGTATCAGAGGAATTTTTCGTTTAAAACAAAAAGAATCTGAAATGCCCAACACAACTAATAGAGCTAAAACTTCATCGACGCATGATGCATCCATCCAAGACAAAAGCATATGGAGTACCCAAGACAAAAGCTCTTATCAAACAATAGTGTCTTCTATACCCAATGCTTCCATCTTAAATGAAGGCTCCTAGAACATCCTCTAATTATTTTTGACATAAGCAACAACCATCGTTTTATGAGATGAACATTATGCTCTAGCATAAACAAATCATAACTCAGCACAATGAAGTAAATTTTAGGAGCATTATTTTCATTCAATCGAGACCCTATGCGTAGCTCAGTCAACTTGGACATAACACACCAACTAGACATGCCATATTAACATATCATTTACAAATAATATTCTCTCATTTTGACACTCGATAGTTTATAATTAATGATAATCATATAAGGCAATATAGAATGGTCTATGTAAATATGTTTTCACTATGAATTGATTAGATCGAATTCATATATTTGAACACGTTATAATTTTTTAATACTTGAGATTATTTAAAACTGACTTAATTATTAAAGGTATCTTATCAAACCTACCATTAATATAATCTTTTATTAGAACAAACCAAAAATGGGATACAATATACTAGCTTTTTTTTTTACTAAAAATAATTCTTCCATGTCTAGTTGTGGCTCCCACATTTGTATCCTCTTAGGTCCAAACTTGTATCTAATAATTTGAAGTGGATTCAGTAGAATGGACTGAACCCGGTCCGTCCCTCATGCTACATTTATGGCTAATTTTGTTGGCTAAGTGGCGGTTCAAATGGTTGCGGATCTTAAAGCTCGATTAGTAATCCAATGGCTGACGTTTCTCAGTTTTTTTTTTTTATTTTCTGGGAAATGGTGGTCAAATTCCTGCCAATATATTTTCTCTTTCAGCGGTGGCCCTCGTCTTCCAAGGTTAGTCTCCTCCTCCCTCGCTTCTCCCCTCTCTCTTCTTCGGGCCCCCTTTTTCATACTGCCGTTGTGGATTCGACATGCGGAGGAATCGACCGGGATCAAACAATTCAAAGCAAGAATTCGGCAGAGTTTGGCGTTCTTTGATCCATAATACTGGCTTGTTCATCGAAAATTCTGTGATGGGTTGATATTATGGGTGATTAATGCCGATCTCAATCCCGATTGGTTGGGTCAGGCCCAGTTAGGTCTGGGGAGAAAGCAAGAAAGAATAAGAAAGATAGCTATTTCTTCTTATACAAGGTGATATGTTTGTTCTAGCAGATTCTGAAGAAAAGATAGGGCAATAGTGGTCCTCCAAAACTCAGTTTTGGAAGAATGCCTGGGTACTATGACATGGATGACATCTTGATGGAGGATGAGGTTTGTGAGTGTACTTATGCTTTGGTAGATTACCTGTATGCTTCTCATTTGTGATCAAATGTGGCAATTTGCAGCCTATTTCTGTTGTCTTTCAAGTTGGAGCTCATGGTTGTGGCCTTCTAGATCCAGGTTCAGAAACCATCGATGTAAGTCATTTGTACTAATATGAGCAATAAATTGTTGTTTTGTCATCTAAAAGTTTCTCGTTTATTGTTCTTATCTGTCATTGCCTAGATCGAAAAGGGCACTAAGATGGATCTGCCTTATTGGCTTGCTCACCAGTTGCACTTGAGGCAAGCAGTATCTATTAGTGTTCCAGCCAGCTTCAGCCAAAAGTACGGAACATTCTTCGCATAGTTCTCACAAATGTAAATTAATTTCGGGATATAGATTTTTAGAGACATTGGCTGATTCTTTCAATTCAGTCAATCAGAGATGAGGATTGAAAGAATCAGTAGGTTTGGGGTATACTAGTATTTTGTGACCCTAGGTTTTTCATGAGACTTCCATATATCCATTTAAATTGCTTGTCATCCTGTTCATGAATGCTTTCAAAGGCTGGCTGCAGTTTCAAATTGTAACTATTTTGGGTTCCCTCTAAGAAATGTTGCATTTGATGGATGTCTGTGCCATCAATATCTTAGCTTGGTGACTTTTTGGATACCAACCGATTGAAGGAGTGCTTAGTTAAAAGCTGGCTACTTGAGTCAACATAACTATTTCTTCACTCTAATTGATTGTAAATAATCTTGTCAACAGTTGGCTAAAATAGCGAAGACAAGATTAATTGAGTTTGTCAAAAAAAATTTTCTCTGATGAAACAGAACTAGGAAGGAAATCCAGGCTGATGCTGCATGTGTTGATCTGAAGGGTCGTTGCCCATACTTTTATGAGTTGGGATGCAAGGTTGCGCCACTGTAAGTTCTCTATTAGATGAACTTCTATCTATCTCTTCATATATGTGATTGTAATTATCTTCGCTTGTGTTGAAATATTTGGGAAGTCTTAGAGTTTTTCAACTTTCTTTCTCTAAAACAGTTTTGTTCTGTTGATTATGTTGTATGACTTATTTAGTAACATATAATTTTTTATAATTTATCCAAACAAATCTGCACAAACATTGTGTCAAGACGACTGATATAATACATGCTTCAGTTGGTAGGTTTATAGATTGTTTCATAGCCACTGTATGTTTGGAAATGAGTTTGTGTGTCTAAAAAAGTTAACGCTGGTGTTAAAAAACAATTCACCGCTAATAATTAATTAGATTCAGTAGTGGTAGAGTTGAATTGTCTGCTATCAAGTTGTCATTGTAAAAGAGGAACTTGGAGGGTACTTGAAAATTTATTGCTCTATTGTTGTTTGGTTTGTGATTCATGTAACAAGTTCACAATGCCATCTCTCTTATGTGAAGGCATGATGAGACTTAAATAACAGCTGCTCTCGAAATTATGTTTCCATTATTTTTTTTAAATTGGAACTTTCTGGGTTTAGGTGAGACTTAGCATATGCTTCAGATCCAGCAATCATTTATATCATTGTGATGACAGGGTTGGTGACAAGACAATTGGATCCTTTCTGCTTTATGCATTCACGGATCGGTACAAGGAGATGTTGAGCAAGTCACACAGTGCCTCAGCTGTTCCAAGATTCTCTTCACGTCTTACAAAAGAAGAGTCACAACGTGAGACTCCCTTCCGTTGATCAACTCTGCCTGTTAAATTATTGCTGCCGATATAGCACTAAGCTTGTGTTGTTTGTCCACATGAAGTGTTCCAAGCTGCTCGCTCTTCAATGGCAGCATTCAAGAAATGGCGTACAGGTGGGTCGCGATTGGAGAAGGCATCGATCCTCGGGAGGAAAAGGAAGAGAACCATACCACTCGGCCCGTCTTCACCGTAAATAAACTCGCAAATTGTGAAATACTAGTCTTTGTTGTGATTCTTCTCTCTTATCTTTGGAATGTACTGCGTGTTGCATGTTGCTCCAAGTAAAATGTATGCATTTCTCTCTTCTGTTCTAAAGTTTCCTTTTTCTTGTTGCGAATAAAGAGTAATAGGATTCTGTCTAAAAAGTATAAAATATTTATCATTTTGAGTAATGCAGCTCAGGCAAAAATAACTGAATAATGTATTGTTGTGCAATGAGAAGTGACAACACTTAGCTGATTATTGGCAACACTTGTTTCACGAAGATGTAATTAGTCAAACAGTAACCAAAAGAAGGGTGATAGAGTTTAAACCGTTTATGGTATCATTTTCTTTCCTACTATTCTTGTACTTGTGATAAGGAGAAGTAAAATATTTATGCGGTTTGTTTTGTATCATTGTAGATTGACAGGTAAACTAGAGGGGTTCTAGCTTGCAACCTCATTTTGTAGGAGGTTATATCGTATGCAGTAATGATCCGATGATTGAACGGTCATATCGACTTGCATTGATGGTGGTCGAGTCACCACCATATGTGGGCCGAAACCCCTTTGTCAACAACCATCAAGGATAAGGGCCTTTCAACAACATCATATTGAGTTTTTGTCCTTAGACGAGTCAGTCATGAAAGCAATAGCATTGACTACAACGTTAAAAGTCCGATGGAGGATGCAGATTCTACCAAGAACAAGACAGGGTGCCGAAAGTTCATCCTTAGGTTGGCTTAGTCTCCCACAGCTTGCATGTAATATAATTCACATTGCACATGTCCTAAGGAAATTGTGTATACCAAACTCAATACCATATTAAGAATATAAAATAAGATTATATTCTTATTTTACGTCCTCGTGCTTAACTTGGATAAGAAACCAGTGATCCCGCCTCGACATGTGCTTGCGTCATTGTCACTACGCCACGTAGCTGTAACACTGTACGACCCGCTGCGTCTCTATATCTCTACCTGAAGACCTCGTTTCCATTTTGGGCTCTTTGTCGATCCTTCCTTGGGTACTTTGATCGGAATCAAGGTGTTCGAAGAGGCATCATAAAGTTGAGGCTTCGATCCGGAGGGTCGCCGGCGAGGACACTGCGATGTCTGGTGCTGCGAAGATTCAGAGTTGCTGCGCCGACACTGGCCCGGGCTATCCGTCCCCCCTCGAAGCCAACCATGTCGGGGCCGCGGGAGGCCTTGATCTACGTTACCTGTGTCTACAATGGTAAAAAGATCGCGCCTCTTGGTTGTTAATCTGAGCGATTTAAGCTTGGGGGAGTTACTGTTTTTGATTCTGATGTGTTTTCTCCGTAGGCTGTTGTTACCTTTTTGCTCTCCATGCGTTTAGACGAGGAATCTTCATATGCATATTCCTTGATATTAATCCTCGTGGATTCAGTAGTCTCTTCTTTTTTTTATTCAATCGAGACGACAAGTTCCTCACAACAATAACACTAACACTAACAAAAACAAATTCGTAAGTCTCACCTACTTCAATTTTTATTTATAATTTTTATTAAAATATTTTTAGATCTTCCTCAACCTTTCCTCGTACCAATACCGCATCCAGTAATCTCCCACAGATGCCCACGATTTTATTTCATCTTATCTTTTATCGAAGAAGCGATGCCTACCACGACTAAAAATATTTTTTTTAACTCCATACATCCATCTCAACATTCTCATCTCAGCAACATAATATTTTTTCTTAACCATCCAATATTCAAAAGTTTCTCACCAACAAACAAAATGAATTATATTGTTGGTTAAAGTGTTTCCTATTTTAATTGCTTAGGAACTAAATATGACTTGTATTAATCTTGCTTTGGAACTAAATCGCCAACCAACAAAATGAATTATATTGTTGGTGATTTCATTGTTTTCTTCCAAAATAAAAGGTCTTACTTTTATCATTAATGAGAAGGAATAGGTGATGGCATTTTTAGTAACTATGCACTTTTGATTTGGGACCTGATTCTGTTATTCGTGCATGATGTCAGGTGCTCAGGGGCCATCAAAGGCCACCTTGCTTATTGATCATTGATGTAACTTCTCTAGCTGTCAGAGGTTTGATTGAGATTTGGCCCCTTCTTTGACTGTTCAGGAGTTCAGTTCTCATGATACGTATTCCCTTTCTTTAAGGGCATCAGCAACGTTTTCCAACATATCAGGAGATTTGGACTTCTTTCTTGTATTTATAATCTTGTATGAAATACATACTCAGAACAGGGATTTCTGGGGTTTAAAAGAATAATCTTTCAAAATTTGGCATTTGTAAGTTCTTGTTTTTGTTTTTTGTTCTTAGTTTCTGGGAGTTTATGGGGTTTTATTTCATGGTTGTTTAATGCTTGATCTCCATTGTCGCTTTGGAGGAATCTTGCAGGTTTCTAGCTCATTCCTTTTGAACTTGGTAAGTATGCATGATTATTTATAGCATAACTAGATGCATAACACCAAAAGTCATCAAATCATGACCAACTGGCCAATTTGATGAGACGAGGAAGAAATCTAATTCTATCATTATGAAAAAATATTGAATTGAGAATCACATTGTATTTGTTCTTACAAAAGCATAAGCTAATGTAACACCCTCAGTTGAACTTATTGTAGAAGAAGCAAATTTTGAATTAATTGGATATGGGCTTACTCCTAAGGAAACTTTATGTCTCCTTTCTTAAGCATTTCCTTTAAAGTGATACTTGAAGAAGTTATACATGATACATTTAAGATGAATTTTCTTTTATCAACAGTATGTTTCATAGTTAACTCTTTATAGTTTTCTTTTCATGATTGTGGTCTATTCATGTTTATATTTTCTACTACTTTTAGTTCTGGACTTCAGCATTAAAGTATTTGTAGCAATTTTTTCCTGTGTTTGTGCTATTCACTCTTGTGTCCAATTACGGTTCTTATTAGAAGAATCAACATTTTCCACGACCGCTAAATTTTATGCTGTCTTAAATAAAATGCCTTTGTGCAATGGATTTTACAACAAAGATATTCTCTTCAACTACACAGGAACTGGAATAGAAAAACCGGACTACTTGGCGACTGTGGATGTTGATCCTAACTCCCCAACATATTACAAAGTAATTCACAGGCTTCCCATGCCCTATATTGGTGATGAACTGCATCATTCTGGTTGGAATGCCTGCAGTTCTTGTCATGGTGACCCTTCAGCAGTTTGGCAATTCTTGATTTTGCCTTCATTGCTGTAATCCTCTGTTGTGTTTTGCGTGTTTTATATTATTGCTACTTTTACATGTCTTACTTTGATGTGTTCCTGCAAAGAAGATAATTATTTGTTAGATTATACATAAATGGTGACCAGCTTAAACGATATTCTAAGCTATTCTTTGACTATTTCAGTTATAGAAGTTCATTGTCAAACTATCTTTAGTACACTTTCATAAAGAACTAATAGGTCTCTTGAAGATTATGAAAGTTTCCTTTCATAAAACTTTGATTTGATTATCATTGTCAATGAAAGCGGACTAAATGTCCTTATCTGTGCCCCCTAGCAGGAGAGCCGAGGCCTCGCGGGCCCTCCTTCTAAGACTATATGATAAGTCAGTATTTGTTATCATCAGCATGAGCACAAGGGCTCATATGGAATTGAGGGCTTGTAAGTCCTTGGTTCCCTTACTCCTTAACCGATGTGGGACTAAATATGCTTATTAGTGCCCCCCAGCAGGGGAGCCGAGGCCTCATGGGTGCTCTTTCTAGCTCCATCTGATAAGTTAGCATTTGCCATTATCGGTGCGAGCACGAGGGGAAAGATGACATGGCAAACACGTAAGCTAAAATGTGATGACATGTGGCCAATGGGTCGACCATCCTAACGTGTCGGTCAAATCCAGTCGACAAGTGAAAGTCAGATCCGAAGACGCATGGCCACAATGGGCCATATGTGGCCGATCGTCCAACCATCTAACCCTATGATAGGCGCAATCATACGACATGAGCTTCAAAAGCAACGAACATTGTGCCACACTCTTGCCCAAAACATCACATGAACTTCTCTTACAACCGATGATCTTGAACATAACTATTTCCAAACTATATATAAAAGGAATCTTGAGGTATGCATTCCCCATATTCTCTTAATCTCACCAGCTAGTTCAACTAGTCCTCAACTCCGTGACTTCTAAAACTGATTTGATTTTTGGAGGGGCATTTGTTGGGAAAGCCCTTGACTTAGTCTTGCAGGGTCAGCACCTCGGGAAACTACAAGTAGGACTTGAGACAACTTTGGAATGACCCTCAATTGAATCAGACTTACCTCTCCAACTCAGACAACAAGAATCTGATGTAACACCAATAAAAGGAGTATAATTGTTATATGTAATAATTGGTATAGTTAAGATAAATTAATCTAAGAGGCTCTAGAAAAAGTGAAGTGCTTAGTGGTATGGGTTTCTTCAATTTTCTATTGACTTGAGGTTTTGCTTTCTGCCCGCTCTACTTTGGCATGACTTGGTATTTGGTTAAGTGCTTAGCTCTCGGAAAAGTTTGAAGTGCTTAGAGGTAGCAACTCAAGTGCTAAGAGAGAGTAGAAAATAAAATTGGTGTTTTCTGGGACCTATTCTTTAAGTGACTATCAAGAGTCAAGGTCATCAGCAAATGGCTGTTTGATGTTAAAAGAAAGGGGATTGAGGAGGCTCTTTCATATGCTTCGAGATAGAGGACCAAGTAATAGTTGATTGAAAGTCAACTTGTGTTCTAGTTACCACATCTGGTTTTGTTTTGCAAAAGACTGTTTGGTTCGATCTATTTCACATGTGGTTCTGCCTTAAGGTTCAAGTTTAGAAATTCTGGTCAATACTGCCAATATTGGTGTTTCTTGTGCTATTTCCTAAATGGATAACACAATTTACCCTGTTATGATTCAAGCATGGACAAAACTGATTTTCTTGATTTTATAGTGCCGTTACCCGAAGCAGCTTATATATATATATATATATATATATATATATATATATAGT